CGATAATGAATGCTATACTAGCACCTATAGGATAAACTTTCAGAACACTTAAAATAGGTGTGCGTTGCTCAAGTAAAAATCATTCTCAGGTGTACTACTGACACTTGACTAGAGATTCCTAATCAGACTGAATTGATCTAAAAGCTGGGTGGCGGTTTCTTTCATTCAGCTTCAACCTTGCACCCGAGCTGACACATTAAGGAGAGCCTAACCAGTTAAAACTAACCCGATAACTGATTAGCCACTTCAGAAAACTGGTAACACCTTAAATGAAATTCTATCTGCCCTGTAGGCACTACTGGATGATATCAGTGGTAAAAACTACTCACATCAACCAATCAGTAGTATATATATATATAGTAAGGCGCAATTATACATGCTTTCTTGATTACCATTCATTGTATCAAGTAGAATAAATATTGTAGTTTGGATAACTGAGGAGAAATGTCATCTTGAACTCTGTGAACTGCAGATTGTGAATACAATTTAATATTGATGAGATTTCTCAAGATAAAAGTCGTTGCTTAGAGACAGTCTTCAAGGTTATTGAATTTATTTCAACTGTAAGGTGACCTAGTACATAATCTGATAAAAAGTGATTAATAAGAGAACTTGTACTGAGTTATGCAGTCCTTTACATTATTATATAACAAATTAGAATAAATAATTTCCACGAGATATTTCATGCGGAAATAACTCACTCTGAGGGGGGAAAATTCACCATGCTTTCCTAAAAAGAAGCTGAATGTAATCGGATCACATATTGTAATCCGCTCGTTAGTATAATACGCCATCATATATACTGTTGGCTAATGTGTATATTTGAAATTCACATAATGATTCTTATGTTTAAGGTAGGTTTATCAGAGTACGTCGTTGATGAGTTTAGGGTAGCGCCCATCCGGGTGTTTAAATTTCCCTAATACTGTCAACAAGCGGTACTGGTTGATGCGAGTGGTCTTCGATCACCCACATTCAGTACTAGTAAAAGCCAATCATGTTGTTTGAATGACTTCCTATCTTCATGGTCTTAGCTATGGGAAAGATAAACTATCAAGCCATGAAACATAGGACACATTACTATGTGACTTCCAACTTGTTAACTCTTCTTAACAACTAATATCAAACTTCAGTACACTTTCATGTCACTTTGCTTGGCGCCTGCAAGACAAATTGACAGATTTGGATCAGCACAATGAAGATTAGGCAGATAGACCAGATCAAACATTTCCTGGTGATTGACGCACAGAATTCAATTAAAATTAATAATTAGAAAGAATAGCAATAAGTCAACGTTTCCTTTTATGACTTTGAAGCTTAATTATGCCCAACTTGAATAAAAGGGTGGAACTACAGGCAGAACGGACGGAGATATGAAAGTCAGAATCGGAAAGGCAAGGCAGACCTTCATCAACCTGAAACCAGTTTGGAAATCTTCTGCACTAACTCAGCATAAGGAACAAGATTCGCATTTTCAACACAAATGTAAAGTCGGTCAGTGCTTCTATAGGGGTCAAAAAAGTGCACTGCATGTCACGAAGATGATTTCCAGCAGGTTTCAGACTGTCATTAATGGGTGTCAAATGGTCGGCCAGAAAGAATTAGTACCAAGAAACTCTGCAGTGTAACAAACCAACCAAGAGTCGATCGTTCAACAAATATGTAGGCAAAAGTGGAGATGAATCGGGTATACTTTTGGGAGGCCGCAGAATGACATCACACGCCAGGCCATAGCTCGAATGGAATCCAAATGGGAAGCGACGAGTGGGTTGTCGGTGCAAGCGTGACATGGAGGAGATCAGGTTAGGAAGAGATGTGAGATTTTGGTCTATTGAAATGAAGAACAGTATAAGGAATGCACGAAAGATATCCTAATACAATTACACAAATAGCAGAATATTTTTTAAACCCGTTCCACCCGTCGTGTTCACCAATTGTGATCACTATTAATTCATCCAAGATGGCTACTTTGTTTATAGTGATTTAAGCGGTAAATTTATTCTAATTACATCTACCGTGAATATTTCACTCACTAAGATTACTTAAACGGAATGAAGTCAATGTGAAAACGACTTAGTTTTATGGTTTGCTGACGTAATTCATCATGTTTATTCAGTTAGATTACTATAATGGTGTTTACAAGAAAGACTATCACGTTTACCATGGAGTATATAATTAAAGGCTGAGGTTAGGAAATATAAAAGTGTATGATTAATTTGCCATTAAATACATATGATTAAATGATCAATGTACCTTGTAATAAACACTACAATAAATTATACACTTGCCTATCGTGTATATTTTCAAACTGTTCCCATTGAAAAAAACCCTGTGAAAATTTTATTACTTGTTGTTGTTCTTGTTTTTCCCTAAAACTGTTTATGCGTTTTTAGGTATGAATGAGAAACTTCTCGTATTCACTTATTTCCCTTAATGAATCTGAATAAACAAGAACAACAGTTTTCGTAGAATAAAATGGTAACATCATTGCTTATTTCGTTGGCTTCTCATCATTTGCTTACAAGCCAAAGTCATTATTAAGTATATCTCCAGAAACAATTTTAACACACTTGCACAGAGTCCATTTTTAAACAAAAATCAATCAATATATGAACACAATAATAATATATGTTATAATAAACACTTTATCCCGAATAATGATGATCACACACACAATGGAAGCTTTCAACATTTCCTAATCAGATGAATGAGAGGACGAAAATAACCAGTTCCCAGGCAGGGCAAGCAAGGACTGATAACTGCTTCTTTCTGAACTCATAAATCAGGTTTCAGGTGCCTGATGGAGATTGATTCAGTAAACATGAGGAGAATTGAACTATTTTGCTCATTATTATTTCTGAACGATCTTGCAACATCCACCTCATGACCTGTATCAAGGAGATGCCTGGCGATGGCACTGTTTAAAGCATTTGTTTACTTTAGATCTAGGCTTTTTGGTGCATGTCCAAAAAATCGTAGATACGCCCTTCTTTCTCTTCTTCCAATGTAACTGCTCCTGCAGATACATATAAATTTGTATATACCGTTGGGTTTAACATGAGAAGGGCATCTATCGATTTTCTTGATTGCACCAAAGGTTGTTCGATAGATGAGAACGAGCTTAGACGCAGGATAGGTTCTGCCTAATGACGTCCTCAATCTTCTGTTGACAATGGCTAGGACATGTGAAACCTATTCCTGACCGTCGCCTACCTCAACGAGCGATTTCATAGGATTAGGCTGAGGAAGTACTAACTATGGATGGTCAAATCAAAACTTGGAATCAGTCTATGAAATCTTTAACAGTTAAGTTTAGCCACATAGGGAAGTGCGAGCTTCCTGGTTGAGGTTCTTGGGATTTTCGAAGTCAACAGCTGGGGATCATTTGAGGATATGGCTCGAAATTATCCTCAGTGCTGCAGATGCATTCACGCTTTGTATTCTCTCATATCTAATAAGCCCCATTGTCTTTCCATGTTACTATTCTTTCTCTCACACATTTCCGCTTATTAGCGATGTTTTAAGTGTGTCGGTGGCACAGTGGTAGAATGCTGGCCGACCATGTATGTGGTCTGGGGGTTCAATCCCCAGCCACGGACGCACTCTTTTACCACACCAAAACAGTAACTAGACTAGTAAAGAGGGAAGGTAAGGCATGAGGCTAACAATCCCATCCCATAAAACTAAACAAACCTCTGGCTAGAAATCCTATGTTCCACTGGTAACCTAAAGGAACAGAAAAAACACCATTGTTTGGAATATCTCCTTTCGTCTTCTTTTGTCCTCCTCTGTGGGCTATGTACAGTATGGCGACTCGAACTGTTGTACTTCAGTGCAAAGTTCTGCTTTGAAATCAGTCAGTCAGTTGCTTTTTCTGTCAATTTTTCAGAATTATTAGTCATACTGTAGGGATTAATCTACTTATTATTAGGTTGTAATTATAGATACTACAACCTAATAAAGTCTCCATTAACTTAGAAAGTGTTAATGTAACACACCACAAAGTTTTCTGATTACTGAATATTCATGTTTTATGACTTCAGCGGTTTGGTATGGACGGAAGTCCCATATTTTTACAACACATTCAAGTATTCTATAATCCAATGATGGATATCTCCTTTGTGGTTGCGAGGAAAAAATACCTGCTACTTACATTTACATATCATGGAAAAATTGAACCATGACAGTACTTAGTCAATAGAGAATATCGACTCAAAAAGCATGAGAACTTCTCTTTGAGTACAGTTAACTGTTTTGCTTGTAAAGGACTTTGTCTTCATCTCAGAGTGAAAAATATTGAGGCTATAGCTTGTTGACAGAATTTGCAACTTAAAGAAGGGCATTTTGTAGTTTTGAAGTTTGGTTTACAAGGATTTGATTAGTTTCAAGAGAGCCCACGTACCACCTTCATTTAGAAAGCTTTTGAAAAACAGGGATAACCTTACAGCTGTTTTCAACCTAATTAGGACTCTTCAGAAGTCTGCACCCATGGTAGTAACAAGGATAGAGATCAGGATGGAGTTACCTGACTTTCGAGCAGGAAGTCATGAGCGGCAGGGTCCACCAAATTAGTTGAAAGGATGAATACTTGCCACTGGCAATTTCTGATGGTTGCATTATAGCCAACGAATTGGCAGAAGTTACAATTTATGAGCTATTAGATTCCATCCGAGCAGCCGAACGGTCTACTAGATCGCCTTGTGACCTGAATGCCTTGGGTTCTATCTCTCTCGGTGGAATTATGAGTACACACCGTTGAAGAGCCTCGAACAAGGACAAAGCACCCTATAGTTCCTCGCAGTTTCAGATGTCTTCGCCTTGTTGATTAGTTTTTAATATATTTAACATGGACTCCTTAAAAGATTTGTTTAATCATAACTGTTTGATGCTATTCTAGATATATATGCTATGTCAGCGGTACTTCAATCCTTTTTGCCTCTGTAATATTATTTACACAATCTCAGGGATTTCTTTGTTTTTTTTCTAATTCACTCTTGCAGGACAGTATGATCTGCAAATAATGAATGTAGAATTATCAGATGAAGGAGCTTATGTCTGCCAGGTGAATTTTAAGCGCAACAGTATTTAAGTCAAACAGCTGTTTTAACAGTTCAAGGTAAGTGAATGATCAATAAACTTCAGTTGTTGTTGTTTTTTTTTTCTTATTTTGCCTTAATTTTCAGTATTTACGTGTAATTGCTTATTCCTCTAATTATTTATTAAAAAAGATGTTCAATAAACTTTTTGTCATTATTTCAATAGCAGTCAATTACAATCAATTAAAAGGCATTTTTGAAACTTCTTAATGAATATTAATCACATATGCTATGAAGTGATATTAGTGTACATTTGGGCAGTCTTATCAGTATCCATTGCAAAGTCGACAACAATGTGAATCTGTACTCAAAGTAAGGGACTCAAACTCCTAAGGAAGTCTTTGATGTTAGATGGCTTGAGGCAATCGGCAGGAAACCCAAATAACTTGGCACTAAGTTCTCTGACTAGAGAACTGTGTGACATGCTTTAGAATCTCAGAAGAATCATGAGTTCCTCGGAGATTAAAGACATACCTTGCTGACGATTACCAACAAGAACAAAACCTAGGACAAAGGTTTCCTGCTAACAGCCTCCAGCAATCTGACAATGAATCAGAGTGCACCACAATAGAGAGCCATCTGTCATGATAGCCACAGTGCAAGCTTGGCTGGCTGAATTCAGTCAAGTCTAAACACATGACACCAGTTACTGCTTCGTGTCCAGACAAAGTAATGGAAGTCTTCGTTGCTTGACTTTTCTGAAGGTAACTGTAAGATTTCCATCAGATCTCACAAACATAAACTGCTTTGGTCAGGTGAAAAGTTACTCCCTTTGAACAATCGAACATGTAGATAACTTTGATTAAGCCGAATTGTGTTAAACAAAGTTATTAGTTTAGTCGGTTGTGGATAATAGATGTACCAAGACAAAATCTATTTATGGAACCTGTTTATTTCCTGTATGGATCCTAGTAATTAAGCCACAGATGTGTGACTTGCTTCCCAGTGGAACAGCTGACTTCAGTCAAACAAGCACAACCTAACTATCTATCGAGATGGTGAAACAGGCTGAGAAGTGAATAAGAAATATTTAGCTAGTGTCATTTTGAATGATTTTTATAAAGTAAATCAGATGAAGATATAATCAACGTTTTCAGGAGTTAGTCTGCAGGAACCACTGATCAATACCAGTTAAAGAACCTCTAGAAGTCGGGGAGTAGTGAACAGCTGTTTCGTTGCACTGTGGGACTCGTCTGCATAATGTGAAATATAATCACTCTTCAGTGTGGTTAGATGTCGTTTAAACGTTTAACTGTGAACACCAACATGCATCTAAGTACTTCATGCACATCAGCTCTCATAAGCGTTTTACCATAATTTAAAAAAAATGCTCACGAAAACTACCCTAAACCAAGAAAAGCCATGCTCGTCAATCAGATGTCTAACCAAAAGTAAATGATTAAGTTAAGTAGGAATGGCGAAAAGAGTTAAGTTTATCAGATTACTGGCTGTGAATTGTAGAAATAGTTTACATGTAATTTCGAAGTGTTTAAGTTGTCAAGCCATGTCACCTTACTTTGGTGTGCCTAAAAGTGTAAACGAACTCGTTAGGGTGATTTAGATGCTTACAAAAAGTTGAAAAACTGATCGCGGTTATTTTGATCGATTATTATTTGATCACTTTTTTTTACAAATTTCGAACTCCTCGTTGCTCTTTATTTCATACCATTGTTCGTTACATAATTTATTCCCTAGCGCTCCTAGTGTAATGCAAGGCTTCAAGCTTGAATTCTGGAGTTTCAGTAGCGTTAGTGTTTTTAAGGGCTCGGGTTTAGAGTGTGTTAGCATGGGGTCGTGCTTTATTGACGAGCACTGTACCACTTAACTGCCAACTTCTGTTCATTACACAGTATATCCTATATCTAAGATAATGACACCTTCTTTGAATGAAATTCCAGCAATGGATGTGAAGCATTGAAACTTGAACGCATCCATGTTAAATTTCTAATTTCTGCTTATATCTGATTCTTGAAGTATTATCCAAGTTCTTCCCATGTATTTTCTGCCTAATCGTTTTTAACTTCGTCTACTCTATTCAATAAATCAATTTTTACACTTTACGTTAAAAGAAATATTATGGCGCCGTCTCATTCACTCTTGCTTAACACTGGAGACTGATTGTACATACATAAGTTAAATGTTATAGAATATATGACCACTGGATCCAATCCTGTTGATGTTAACTAATCAATAGAATTAAAACTTATTCTTCAATATGATGTCAGTAATATACATTAACTTCTAGTTTCATTTTGTCTCTCGAACAAACAACAGTAAATTAGAGAATGGCATTTCTTATTAGTTTATTTTACAATTTTTAAAGTTACGTCCACGTTTATTTTTTGTCATGTCATTATATGGGAAGAGAGAGAGATAGGGGGGAGGGTATAGGTGAAATTGCTTTTATTTGTCGGGAGATTTTTTCCCACTTACTATGTGATAAGGGGAAAGTAAAATACAGAATATGTGATTGTCCTATAAGTACTATACTGTTTTGTCTTCACAGAGACATTAGAAACGCTATGTGTCTTTGGTGCATATGTATATACAGTGGGACGCTTTCTAAAATTTTTCAATGGGCACTAAATTCGAATATACAAATACATATACAAATTCTTTTTAATGACGTTGGCATTTCGCATAGAAGATTAAAATAGAAATGGTTAAAGCATGTTTTTTTCTTCTGAATATAGAAAGATGAGAGAGAATGAAAGAAAGCAAGTTGACTGTTACGTCACCAATCCATTTTAAAGGGATAAATTAATAATTTAACTAATTTCTTAGTTAATTTCTGTCAGTAAACATCCTGGTAGAGGACTTAATGCAGCTTATCTACTGTGTGTTCCGATGGTACAGCTGTTAGGACGCTCGTCAATAATGCACATGGTCCAGAGCTGGATCTCCTACCGACGCACATCTGATATTAAATGGTCAACCTGCTAAATTTAGGCTACCGATATCACCTGCTGAAAATTCCATACCTGTAGCAAAATAATGTGTGTGGAATCAAACTATAGTAAAAATAAATGAATAAATATATGCACTTAAATGTATATCACTGATATACTACTCAAAGATACGTCAATTAATTCATTGTAGCAGTATATAAGACAGCCCTCAGTTGGCAAACTTTTACTGATGTAAAGTCTGATGATTGAAGGGGAAACGAAGATTTGAAACTCTGAATTGTTCGGCTGCCCCTTAGCTCACCTGGTTAAGCCAGTTAGTTCATAATGGCTCATTCAGTTGACTGTAGAGCTGTTAACTCATTCAGTTTCAACTGTCATCTTTTTTAATGAATCATTTAGTTCAAGATAACCTGAAACAGTCCGATAAGAAATCTCTGCTTGGAGCTCTCATAATTAGAGTAAACTGTAGATTTATTTAAGAACGAGTAACAAATACAAACACCAATCGGACAATGGGACACGTCTCAGTGGTCTATGGCTTCTAACTTCTAGAGTCACCGACAGCTAATGTTACTGGCAGGTATTTATCCTCACACGCGACATGATGTACCCCACTGATTACGACTTCGCACTAGAACTCCGGTCACCTTCGTCCTTTGGCCAGTCACTAGTGAGAATCAGATCAATTTCCAACAGTTAGTTTATAGGAGTTTGATTGGTTTTAAGTTTGATAACATTTCGATATCAGTTTCATTCAGTTGTCTTACTGTTTTAATAGCACCTCTTGAAAAAGTTTTTACAGTACGATGTTGTAATATCTATCATTACAGACCAGACTATCTGAAACACATTTATTCTGGCAGACTGGTTCTGTATATGATTCAGAGTTAAAACAATCATCCGGCTAAGCAAAAAAGTGGGGTTAGCGATTTTCGCTCACAAGTTAGGTGGTTTATAGAACTGAACATCGAAACAAAAACACTTAAAATGTTACTCTACCCATAAACCTTCATCCATTTAACTAAATCAATAAATGTTAAATTCAATTTTAGATTTTCCTGTCGATTGATTAGTCCGAAGTGCTTGGTCTCAGGTTAACATGTTGGCTTCTTGTGCAGATGCTTCAACGATGTCTGGGCGTGTAATTAGAAGTTAATTGGTGAATTGTGACTAGCAGTCCGATCCAGGATGCGCATTTCGTCCTATATAGGACTTCTCAGTGAGTGATGATGTTTGAGCCTTGGTGGAAACATCATAATAAGACGAAATGTGTATCCTGCATTCCACTGCCACTCACTATCCGCCAATAGACTTTTAATAAATGTCAGTTTGGTATATTTCCTAAACCACGAATGAGTAGAAATTAGAATTCCTGTGCCACCACATAGAGTACCAGTAGATGAATAGTATACGAGCCTGTAATGTAACCAGAAGCTCCTGAGTTTGAACCCATGTGGATAACTGTTACCGAAGATTCTCAAACTAGGATGGAATGACTATCCAATACATTCCTTGTTTTCTGTGGTTCTGTAATCGATTTCAATTCCTGATCAAACTTGAAATAAATAAAATCCTTAAAAAATAACTCCTAAAAGAAGTGAATGCATTGATGACCTTTGAAAATTATTTATGACTTATTGTAGAAAAACGAATAAACAGTTCGTAGGTGTGTGTTTGAGAAACTAAGCGACCGCAAGAGGAAAGAGTAAACGCTTTCTTAATTTTGATTTTAAACTCGCTAATCTCATCCTTATGCGTCAGTATTTTATTCGTAGAATGCTTGCCAACCATGTGCATAGTCCAGGGTTTGATTCCCGAGTGACTTACTAACTTATCTTACCTAGCCATCAGTGAACTCAGTGAAGAATGAAGGTTAGATGTGAGGCTTTCTCTTTCGGAAGAGATCAACTTTACTAAGTACACTGACGATTTGGCAGTTTCGTTACTAGCTACGCCTCAAGCTGAACGTTCCAAAGTGAATAACTTTTTTTCAGGCATAAGCCACCGATCTCACGTTAAATCCGTCTGAATGTCAAACATCTAACTTCACTTCCAGGCATAAACGTGATCTACAAGAACTTTTTCGTTTACATGATGCTTGTAGCATAGAG